CTCAACCCAACCATGGAGATTCTTCAGCCCAACCATGGAGACCCTTCCACCCAATCCAACTCAACCCAACCATGGAGACCCATCAGCCCAACTTGACCCATCCCAGTCTGGTCTATTGGAAGGTCTCCCTGCCCATGGTTGATAGAACTGGGTGATCCGRTTGATCCCATCCCAGCCCACCCAAACCATCATATAATTCCCCACCATCCACCTCAGCCTCCTCCCACCTTGGCCTTGATCAGCTGTTCCATGTTGGCRCTGAGGTCATCCAGCTCCAGCTTGAGCTCGCTCTTCTCCTTCTCCAGCTTCTGCTTGACGCGCTGCAGGTTGTCCAGCTGCTCGCCCAGCTCGGCCACGCTGTCCGCGTGCTTCTTCCTCAGCGCGGCTGCCGTGGCCTCGTGCTGCAGCGTGGCCTCCTCCAGGTCCCGCCGCAGCTTCTGGAACTCGGCCTCGCGCTTCTTGTTGAGCTCCAGCTGGGCCGAGGTGGCGCCGCCGGCCTCCTCCAGCCGCTCGCTGAGCTCCTCCAGCTCCCGCGACAGCTCCGAGCGCTGCTTCTCCACCTTGGCCCGGCCTGTGCGCTCYGCCTCCAGCTCCTCTTCCAGCTCCTCGATGCGCGCCTGCGGGGTGGGAGGGACACCAGGGGTGGGATGGGGTCTGCCCAGCCCCTCCACCCAACCCAGCCCAACTGGAGACCCTTTGATCCAGCTCAACCCAACCCAACCCAGCCAGCTGGAGRCACTTGGATCTAACCCAACCAGCTGGAGACCATTCAACCCAACCCTACCATCTGGAGACACTTGGATCCAACTCAACTCAACTCAACTCAAACCAACCAGCTGGAGACACTTTGATCCAACTCAACCCACTGGAGACTCTTTGATCCAACTAAACCCAACTCAACCCGCTGGAGACACTTTGATCCAACTCAACTTGACCAACCCAAGGAGCTGGAGACCATTCAAGTCAGCCCAACCAGCTGGAGACTCTTTAACCCAACCTAAACCAACCCAACCAAATGGAGGCTAATCAACCCAGCCCAACCACCTGGAGATTCTTCAACCCAGCCCAACCACCTGGAGATTCTTCAACCCAGCCCAACCACCTGGAGATTCTTCAACCCA